TGAGAAATCAGAGCTTATTCTTACTGGTTGTCCTTTGTAAGTAACTTTTTGTTTTTCCTATGCTGCTTTCAGGATTCTTTCTTTGTCTTTGGTTTTGATGAGTTTGATGATGATATGTCTTGGTGATTTTCCTTGGGGTCTATCCTGTTTGAGGTTTGTTGGACTTCCTGAATGGATATATTTGCATCTTTCATCATATCAGGGAAGTTCTCCTCCAACAAATTTTGGACCGTTTTCTCAGTGGTTTTATTTTTCTCTTCCTGTTCTGGATTTCCAATGACCTGTAAGTTGTTCCTTTGGATGGTATCCCACATGAACCTTAGGCTTTCTTCATTTTTTAAAAAAATTTTTTTCTGATTAATATTCAGATATTTGTCTCCAATCTCATTAATTCTGCCTTCCATTGCATCAAGTCTATTCCTTTGGCTTTCCAATGCGTTATCTATTTCTGACAGTTTAGTATTAACCTTCTGGGTTTCTATCTGTAGATTTAGAATTATTTCTAAGTTTTCATTTATTTTTTCATTTTGTTCTTGTATTTTCTTCCAAAATTCTTCTAAGTTTTTTTCTGTGTTTTCTTTCGTCTGTCTCTCAGTCCTTTGAAGATACCTAAATATAATTCTTTTGAATTCCTTCCAATGCTACTTCTTTCTCAGGGATGTGTTCTAGATCTGTATCCTTCTCCCTTGTTTCTAACACTTTATCTTGCTTCTTTGTGTGGACTGTGATGGTTTGTTGTCTGCAAGACATCATGACATTGTTCTATTTAGATCTCTTTTAACTGTTTGTGAAGAGCAGCCAAGGGTGATTCAGGCTCTTCTTGGTGGTTTTTTATTCTTGGCCCATTGATGAGAAGGAGGTGGTGGCTCTGGATCAGTAAGTGAAGTTGTAGGAGGTATGGGTGTAGTTGTGTCTTATGGGGACTGTTGCTGTCTCCCATTCAATTAGATGAAAATTACAACTGAATAATCAAAAAACTAACAGTACATGGATAAAAAATACACCATGTAATCACACAGGAACAGTAACCAAAAAAAGAAAAAAGGGAAAAAGAAGAAGAAAAAAAAAAACCCTGCAATATCCGGGGATGGGGCACTAATAGAAAAAAGGTAGAGAAGAAGAGTAAAGAAGGAAAAAATGGGGAAAATGCAAAAAGAAAAACAAGGAATGGGGTTTTACATAAGAAAAAAGAGAAAAATATTAATTTAAAAAAAATAAAAAATTTTTCAACCAGAAACAGGGTAAAGAAAAGCAGCTGAAAACTAGGATCTGAGAGGGGAAGAATAAAGAATAATAATAAAATGGACAAAAGTATTATTAATAATAGTAGTTTTGAAACAGATAAATACAAGCAATCTAAACACTAGAAAAAAGAATGATAAAAGGAAAAAAAGCAAAAGAAAAAAAATCAGTGGAGGACAGGGCAGGGCACCCAGGCTCCGTCCTAGCACACAGACTGGGATGGAGTTCCTGCGGGCCCAGAAGGTGGATGGGAGTGGGGAATGGCTGCACCTCCATTCACCAAGTGGGTGTGGGATATAAAAGTAACAAGAGAAATGTTGCACCTTTTCAGTCGTGCAGGTCCGGAGTCTCCTCGGGGTTGCTGGCAAGCA